TATTACCTGCCGGACATGAAATTGAAAAAATCCGGAAAATTTGCCACATAGGAAAGGCGCCCGCTGCCGTGGCCTAGGTTTCTCACTGAAAATCCTCGTCCCCCGGCGGCACCTTTTTTTTGAATTTTCTTCCTTTTCAACGCCGTTTTTCGGGGATTTCGGATTTTTTTTTGAATTTTTTCGCAATAATATTCGGAAAATAGATAACTTTTAACACATTTTAATGCAATAAAAATTTTTGGTCGGAGTCCCCCTTTAAAGCTTCTTAAACAGAAAAAAAACCTCGAAAACGTATTTTTTCAGTCAATTTTCAGCCGTTTGGACCGTTTTCAAAAGCCTGGAGCTTAGCTGTCAAGTTTCCAATCATTTTGAAAACTTTTAAGAGTGTAAAACAGATCTGGATTGAAAACTTTAAATTCATTTCCGAAAGACTCCTTTTTTTCACGTTTTCCATACACAAGGGTAAATTCTCGGAACATCTCAAACCGAAAACCACAAGTTTTGGTCGGAGCAATTCTCCATAATTTCGGAATCAAAAAATGTGATTTTCAATTTATTTTGCGACCAACATCTTAAAACTTGAACCACTTTTACTATTTTGAGCTAAAAAATCACGAATTTTTGTTCGAGCAATCATCAGTCAGTTTGAATTCAAAAATGTGGTTTTTTGGCTGTTTTAACCAGAGGAAATAGATTATTAGACAAATTTCAGCATTTTTAAATATTTGAAAATTCTTAAAGGTAGGGGGACAGGAGATTTTTCGTAGTTTTTTTGTAGCTAGAGTATGCATTCTACCGTCACGGTGTACAACGCTTAATGTCACTCTGCGTACAGCTGTCGTCCTCGCCTTTATGTATGCAAACGGGCGTGCGCTTTCTCTTTGCCCGTGTGGCTCAGTCGGTAGTGGCGCCGCACCCTCAATCATCGCCCTCACAAGTTCAACTCCTCGAGGGGCATCTTTGAACGGAATTTCGAGAACATTATTTTTTTCATGTCCCCCCACCTTTAAGTAATTTTGTGAATACAAAGTTTTCCATCTAGGTCTGTTAGTGATTCGACACTTGACAGCCGAGCTCTTTAATCCTGAAAATGATCAAAATGGCTAAAACCAACTGAAAATTACGTTTTTTGTTGTATATTCTAGCTATTTAAAATGTTCTACATTCAAGCTTACCATGTCTGAACTACAGTACCAGTTAAATATATCACATTTTAAAATTGTTCGGTAAAAAATAGTCAACTTCGGCCTAACATTTTATGAAATTAATTTGTTTTCAATGAACAATTTTTGAAACAGAAATATTTTGTAATTTCACAACAGTTGTAAGATATACAGTATCTGAAATGTGTTTTTCCAATTTTTTCAAGTTGAAACATTAGAAAAATGTTCTATTATAGTTAGCTCTGTAGGAAAAAAAATCAACTTTGAAGTCCAGAAATGGTATTTTCGTTTTGTCTGAAATTGTCATACTAAACAAAAAAGCTTTCATTTTGTATGTAATCGCAGTGCATAAATTTTTGAATTTTTCCAGAAAATATATTTTTGAAACAGAGATTTTTATCATACTTGCAAAAGGCCGGGCCGGGCTGTTAGGAGGATTTTCCTGGCCCGGTCCGCCACACTTAACTGAATTTATTTTCAAATGTTTTCTTTTTTTCTACGAAAGAGAACGAAAAAATGTTTACCTTTTTTTTGAGAATCTATCTACTCGCCTTATTCAAACTGAAATTTAATCATCCAGCGTACAACTATGATTTTTATATGCGTCCAGGAAGAATGTCTCATTTTCAGATATTTAAAAGTTTGTCTTCTAATATTTTATACCTTTTTCGAAAATTTATAATGTTTTTAGGTCCCGTCTGTTGCTGGCACCTAGACGACGTTGCTAGGGGAATATGACGTCTCCGAAAAACGGGGAACTCAAACTTTTTGGAAAGGACAGACATGATTAATGGTTGTCTGAACTTTAGGATTTTGCTATTTTTGAATACTTTAAGCTCTAAAGTTCGAATAACAATGTCATAATCTATTGACGTTGATCAGGGAGTTTGAAAGAATTGAAATTTGAAAAAAAGGAAATTCAACAAGTTGAAAGCAAACTTATTGACGTTGATAAGGGAGTTGGGGGTTTGGAAGTGGTGATTAACGGCTGGATTTGCACAGAAAAATCTGTGATTTTGCTGGCGAATCTACGATTGCGCTAAGAATCAATATAAAGAATCCTAATGCGGTTAATGCGGATTTTCTGGAACAGTGAAAATTTCAGAAATTCACATTTTTTTGATTTTTAGTGTCTAAAAACAGAATTTTCAAAAAAAAAATCTCTGTTTCAAAGTATTTTGTTCAAAATGTAAAATTCTAAAATCCAATTATTGTAAATCCCTCTAGGCAATCACAAAAATAGTAAAAACTACTGTAGTCCCCAGGAAAAAACATAAAACAAACATAAAAAAGATTGATGTATTTTCTTCGTTCATTTTTCATCCATACCTCTAAATTTTTTATTAGAGATGACGGGAGAGTCATGAGCCACCTCTAAATTGGCCATTTTAGTTTTCTTTTTTTTCTTTTCTTTTTTTCGGAATATGATTGTGTCCTATAGATTGACTGACGTCTTGAGGTTATCCAAGATTTTCGAAACAGAAAAAAAACGCGTGAGATGAGATTACCAGATAAATTGAAACATACGAGATTCGGAAATTATGAACCCAGTATCCTAGGGTCTATCAAAAAAGGGAACATAGAAACTTGGGGCACGCACGTGGGTTCAGGCGAGGGGGTCAGAAAGCTCGCCCCAGCTAACTCGTAGGCCAGCCGAAATTATCTAATTCAAAATGACACGTGGATTTCACGTGGTTATTTCTAATGTTTTTTTACGATACAGAAGGCTATGAATTCGTTTTTTTTTCGGTGAATACTGCTCCATTTATGTTGCTGTTCTCCCTAAATTTTCCGAGGAAGGGGAAGGCAATATATGACCATTTATTGAGATTCATGACATATAACAAGAGAGATAACAATTATTATTATACCCAATTGATCCATCCGACTTCTCATGTGCACAGCTCGTGTCGTTGTTGTCTTCGCAATCGGATGCCGGATTCTGGTTGCTCTGAAAATAGAACGAATTATTGAATAACCTCTAATAAAGAATTAATAATTATGGAAGAACCTCAATGCATTTAATATCACCTAAGGACATGACATCCCACCTCAAAAACTCACCTTAAAAAAACGTCGAAAATCGAGCTTTCTTCCAATCGCTCACTTGGCTCATCACTGCACGAGGCGGTTGCATTGGACTTCTCACCTTAATAAATAATTTGAAACTTTTTTCAACTAATTTTCACTGAAAAAAGGGGAAAAAACGAGAAAAAAACGAGCGAAAACGAAAGAAAACATCGAAAAATATTGAAAAAAAAAATATTCGTCTTCTCGGCCTAATGCATTAAAGTATGATTGTCAGTCAACGAACTCTCAGCAGCCAATTGAGAATTTTCGAAAAAATTATTGGGGCGCGCTTTCTGACCCCCTCGCCTGAACCCACGTGGGCACGACAAATAATTCAGAAAAATCGATTTAGTGTATTTATTGTTTAATTTTTACACAAATTAATTTTTCGAAACAGAGATTTCTATATGCGTCTTTTTTTCTAATATTGAATCCCTTACGACGTTTTGTTTGAAATTTCCAAAGTTTTTAATGTTGTAGTGTCCCGCGTATGTTACTGGCGTTGCTAGGGGAATACGACGTCTCCGAAAAACGGCGAATTCAAATGTTTTGAAAAGTAAAGAGAAGATCAATGGCTGTTTGAACTATCGAATTTCCATTTTTTTTGGATACTTTGAACTGAAAAGTTGTTAAAATAACATTGTCATAATCTATTGATGTTGATCAGGGAGATTTGAAATTTAGAAAAAAGGAAATTCAACAAGTTGAAAACAAACTTATTGACGTTGATAAGGGAGTTGGGGGTTTGGAAGTGGTGATTAAATGGATGATGCGATGAAATACTGAATTGTTGGAGAATTGAAATGAAAAAGAAAACATTTCTCTTGACGGTTGAAACAGTATAAAGTACTGGAAGTATCGAAATGCGGCTTTTTCAATGAGAAAATAGTATACTTAAAAGTCTTACAAAAGTGTTCCAGAATTGTTCGATTTGTCTGAAAATTGCAGAGAATACTGAACAAAAACAGAGCTTCAATTTTGTAATTGACAACTTTTCAGAAGAATTCCATTGTGATGAGTTAGGCTGTTTTTAATCCAAAGTTTTTTGTTTAGATGTTTGGTTGGTCAAACATTGCTGTTTCAAAAACTTCCAAAATTATTTCGTATTGCTATTGTGGGGATTGAACTAAATCTGGTGAGATATGCAACTTGTAACCAAAAAAAAAACTATTAAAAAGCACTAAATCGCTGGATTTGTATTAAAAAGTTGTCAATTATAAACTGAACTTCTGTCTTTTAAATACTTCGTAATTTTAGAACAAATCGAAAAATTCAAAACTAGTTTTGTAGGAATTGAAAGTTGGCTTTTTTCCACTGAGCTAACTAAAAAAAGGTATAATTTTTTTACTGTTTCAAGTTGAAACCATTTAGAAATCACGCCTTATAAAAAACGGTCATACCAGATTTTCTGCAAGATACCGTATTTCAAAGATATGAAGTTCATACTGTATCAAAATTTCAAGTTATTACTGTTTCAAAAATTTCTCATTGAAAAAATTAATTTCATAGAGTTTTCCATATGATTTAGAAACAGAATTTATATTACAAAAGCACAATCCCAAAAAAATTTCAAAAGTTTCCTAACTTCAAAAGTTTTCGGATATTTCAAAAGGATATTTCAAAAGTTGCAACTATCAGAATTTAAGGATCTCCTGTTTCAAAGTAATTTTTTAAAACATTAAAACTATTGAATCTGATAATCCACTCCATCGCTTTCGCTGATTCAAAAATAGTACAAGCTATCGTAGTCCCTAGGAGAAGACATAAAACAAACATAAAAAGATTGATGACTTTTCTTAGCTTTCTTTTCATCCATCCCTCTAAATCTCATCCATTAGAGCATACTTGTAATCCGGGCCTTTTCCGGGCCTTCCCGGGCCCTGCCATAATTTGTTTCAGAATCTATATTTTCGAACCAACTAAATCAGATATGATAGAGCTCCACAAGTAGTACAAAACGGTATTATTTGGAATACTGTATCTTATCTATGAACAAAGTTACAGATCATAAAGTTGCTTTTCTCGCAGGGCCCGGCAGGCCCAGGGCGATTCACAGTCGCTGAATTTGAACAGAAAAAAGCTATTACATTGCTGTTACTGTTGAGAATATTAATGCGGTTTATGCATGTTTTCGGAAACAGTAAAAAGTGCAGAAAATTCCATTTTTCCTAATTTTAGTCTCTAAAGACACATTTTAAAAATAAATCTCTGTTTCAAAAGAGATTGATCTAAATTTTATATTTTAAAGTCCAATGATTTGTTGTTTCCATGGTGCTAATTCCAAAAATAGTCAAACTACCGTAGTCCAAAGGAAAAGACATAAAACAAACATAAAAAGATTGATGACTTTTTCTTCGTTCACTTTTTATCCATCCCTTTAAATCTCATCCAATAAAGGAAACGGGAGGGTCATGCGCCACCACTAAATTGGCAGTTTTCTTATTTCTTATTCTTTTTTGGAATTGAGGGATTGTCAAATAGATTGATAGAATAAATAGATTGACTGACGTCATGGGGTTTTCCAAGATTTTCGAAACAGAAAATATTTCGGGAAATGGAATTAATTCGATTACCGGATAAATTGAAACATGCGAGATTCGGAAATTATGAGCCCAGTATCCTAGGGTCTACCAAAAAAAAGGGGAACCTTGGAGCACGGCAAATAATTCAGAGGGTACAAAACAATTTAGGGATACAAAATACCTGAATAAATCAGAATTTCGTACCCCTAGATCACTTTGTACACATTCGTACCCCCGAATTGTTGTATCCCCAGATTACGTGTCTTTGAATTCCTTTTTTGTTGAATTTGAAAACAAATCTCTAAAAATGAAGAATTGTTTTGACGATTTACAATTTTAGGCCCATTTCAAATTTAACGATTTTAAACAAAGTATCTGAAATGTGCTTTTTAAACTTTTTTAAGTTGAATCATAGGAAAAATTATCATTTCAGTTAGCTCAGTAGAAAATGGTAAACTTTGAAATGTTAAAAAAGTCGCATTAGTGCATTTGTTTAAGGTTCCGTTTCAAATGTTTTTTTGAAACTTTTGACGAGAAGTTGACAATTCGTTTAAATTTCTCACGCAACAATCAAAAATTTTCAAGCCTCAAAATAAACAAAAGCGTCAAAATGTCAAAAGAGTCATTTTCAAAATAATTATGAAATTCAAAAGGTCAAAAGAGTCATTTGTCAAAAGGTTCAAAATGAAATTCGTTGACTTTAGTCAATTATGATTAAAATGCATCAAAAGGGTCGAAGATAATTTTATGCGAATAGGTGAAAGTGTGAAACAACCGACTCTTCTTGAAGCATTTAACACTTTTGACGAAATATGATTTCCAATATTTTTCATTTGCCACGTTCGACTATTTTGACGATTCACTTTTTTTTCGATTTTGAAACGTTCGACTATTTTGATAACTATTTTCCGTGAGAAAAAATTATTTTTGAGAAATTTGATTAATCAAAAGTGCCAAATTTCATGTGATTTCATAAATGAAAAATTTGAAACGGAACCTTACATTTTTTATTGAATTTTCAAACAAAATATCTTCTTGAAACAGATATTTTTATATGCGTTTTTATTTTCTTAAATTGAATCCCTTACAGGGTGCGGCAACAGTTTTGCAACCAAAAGAAGACGCCATAACTTCTTGGAAAATAGACCAATCCGGGTCAAATTTTAACAGGACTTTATCGAAGATGTTTGTAACAAATTTGAATTATAGTTGTTCGTTTCTGGAAGCTATGTTTCTGATCGCGAGGCTCCACCTCTTCGGGTAGCATCTTTGGTGGCACGGGGGTGGTTTGCGGCCAAATTGTATCATTCCGCCGGAAAAAAAAAACGTTTCAAAGAGCACCCAAAGTCTTGTGAAAACAAACTTAAACATGCGCTTATGAAGTTCCCCGCATGGAAATTCACATTGGATTGTGATCTGACTCGAGACAGGCCATCCTTTTTTGGGGGTCAAGTTGGAACATTTGATTTTGGCGCTTCCTGCTCAACACATGTTTCCGTGTGAGCAGGTTCTACATGTTTCTGGGTAGTCTAATTTTGCGAGCTTGACGGCACGATGACATAGGCATCATAATTGAACTAGAATTTGTTTTCCTGACCCATTTGCTTGCCCTCATGGACCCGCTAAAAACTGGAAAAATACTAAATAAGGTGTACAGAAAATAGTGCCAACTTAGTAAAAATTGAGATATGAGCACAAAACTTTACAAATCTACTAATAAAGAGATGGGGAAGAATATAAGCAAAAAGTCAAAACATGAAAAGTGCGTCAGCGCGCGCCAGCTTGAGTCAAACTT